AATTATATAAATACTGTTCGGTTTCTGGCACAAACCGATCGTTTCGTGTCTTAAAACATCAATGTATCGTCACGAGCCGCAGGGTTTAATTTGGTTTTATTTGTGTATGTTTTTTTGACTCTCAAAGCCGTGATTCCAATTCACCTCCATTATATGACTGACAGACTGCAACGGTTTGAGTTAAAAATCTTTTTTGTGTTCGTTTGTGTTCTACTGAAGAAACTAAGTCACCTACATCTTGGATGCCCTGGGGGTAAGCAGATAAACATCACATTTTTATTTTTGGGTGAACTATCCCTTTAATTTCTTTAGCTGTGTCCCAAATGACACACTATACACTATGCACTCATACACTATGTACTTATGCACTATGCACTCAATCATGTAGTGTATGAATTATATAAGGTTATTTTGTCATTCATAATCGGAGTCTGGTAGCCCCTCCCCCTTTGCTACGTAATTAAAGCTACGACAGTTGTGCACACGAAGTGTCCAACATTCCACACTTCATTTTTTCGGTTATTTAACTGCATCATTCCGGTATTGAAAGTGCACTTTTTCTTTTTGGAATTTTCAGTGTGAACGCAGTACTCGCACTATTTATACTACAAAACGTCGTAGAATGGTGTATAAGTACGCGATTTGGGACGCACCTTTTGAGATGGTCCTCACTGCAGAACACAGGATCCAGGGGGCGAGGTTGGATCCAGATCCAACTCCTCCCCCTTACATATACCTAAAGCTACCCGTCTCCACCCCCTGATCCCTAAACCCACCCATCTCCACCCCCTAGATGCGGATCCAACCCCGCCCCCTGGATCTTTGTTCTGCAGTGAGGGGCTACTGTGGCGCCTTTTGAACGACTAGTCACTAGTGCAACACAAGTGATCTCGTGCTATACGGAAGCGCTGATTTAAACTGTGTTTGACTCAACGGGGAAAGGACTAAGTTGCTCCATTTCTGCAAACAATTGACTGTTTCCGCATATAAAATTGCTGAATTTGTCAAATCTGTAAAAATACACGTTGTTGTTGCAGCGACGGTGAGAGCAAAGGTCTGTCGTGTTGACACAGTAATTCAGCAATAATATATTTATGGACATTCAAACGTATGAACGTGTTTAGACTGAAAATAAGGTAATGTCTTTTCAAAGAAGCACATAACGGATCTTCAAACTGTTGGTAAGACCTATTTTTCAGTAAACTTAATTTACTATTATGTAACCTGACCTGATATTCTGTACACTCAGTGTTTTAACTATTTACTCAGTTTGTATTTTGCTATATTATGTATTTTCAAATAGATTTTCTCCTATAAATATTAAACTCTTTTAAAATGAGCTATACCTTGAGCACGGACCTTTACAGATAAGGTGTGTCTCTGTAAGGCCATTAAGCTTCATGTCATGACAAATGCATTTATTGTCTTTATCTATGTCAGTAATTTTCAGGGTGAAATATGCCCTTGTTCCGGCAACTCGAGCACACACTGGAAAGGGAATGTCAGAGGAAGAAAAAATGCAAGAGTGAATTGACTGAGGATGAGGACAAACCATCCACACTGACTGGCCTTTGTCTTCAAAGCCTAGCCGAGAACATTAAGGAGATGTGGGCGAAAGATTATGCCCAAAAATACATGGACCAGTATTTCTTCAGATACGTCATGGGTCCCTTCAGCTCATTGCGTGAGTATTGCAAAGACTTGTTCATGTGTAGATGTGTGAGTGTTTATTAAAATATTTATCTTATCTGTGTGTTTCTCTTTCAGCTGGTGATTTGCTGGATGAGCTGTTGTGCATCCTGTCCTCGCGTAATTTGTTGACACGTGCTGCCCTGCATCTCCTTCTCCTCCCGCAGCTGAGCTGGCTATCCCTCACATCAGCATGCAGCCTCATCAATGCCAACCTTTGCTCTCTCATCCAGATACGCTGCCAGGTTAAGCACGCACACAACTTCTAACTTTAACACTTCTAACTAACTGATGAAAAATACAGTAAAACAGTAATATTGTGAAATATTATAGTTAAAAATTATTACTCCAGTCTTCATTGTCACTTGATCCTTCAGAAACCATTCTAATTTGCTGATTTGGTGCTTAAGAAAATTTCTTCTTATTATAATTATCTATTTTGAAAATAGTTGTGATGCTTAATATTTTTGCAGAAACCATGATTTTTTTTTTCTTTTCATTTTTTAAGAATGTTTTGATGAATAAAGTTCAAAAGAACAGGATTTATTTGAAATAGTTTTTGTAACAGTCACTTTTGATTGATTTAATGCATCCTTGCTTAATTAAAAAAAAAAAAAACTTTTGAATGGAGATGTATTATTGTAATTAATTAAATAAAACTAAGTAACAAATTCTTATTACCTTAACCATAATGTTTTGCCTGTCTTGCCTGTTGTCAATACATGCAAAACTTTAATAATTTTTATGTTCACTCACTTGTGTCTGTCTTAAACAGAATCTTCAGTCTCTGGATCTTAGTGGCGCACAGAATATATCTGCATCAGTGTTGTGTGAGCTCCTGGGGAGCCAACCTCGTCTCCGTTTCCTCTCCCTAGCTGGAACCCTGTGTGATCAGAGAGTGGTATCGGTGGTTTGCCGCCAATGTCCCAAGCTGAAACACCTGGATGTGTCGCGGTGTCTTCACCTCACCCCTGAAGCCCTGCTCCCTCTGGCCTACCATGAACCCCTTGTCAAGAATGCAAACATCTTCAGCAGCCTGCTAGCTTTGGATATTGGTTTAGCAGAAAATGAGAGAGATGCGGTTGCTGCAGTTGCATTCCTCCTGCTCAGCTTACCTGGTCTTCAGAGGTTGGCAGTGGAGGGACTGGGACAGGCTTGTGTTCTCATACAAAACAAGCAGTTTGAGCTGACTGAGGAGTTCACTAGTCGAGAGGGTGTGCCACTTCTTAAAGACCTGTGGGCCAAACGGACACAGGAAGACCACTTGAAAGAAAGCAGTTTACTGAGCACAGATGGAGAGGAAAGTTTTACTTTGGAAGGAAACATAGATGAATATTTATCATTAGAGGAGAGTCAGACAGATACTAGTGATAGTACTGATATAAATGAATGGACAAGGGCTTCAGGAGAGGGTTGTGAAAAAGATGGATGTAGAAGTAGAGCTTGTAATGGAAGGGATAGTGTGACAACATCTCTCAGGGATGTACAAGGACTGTCTCTGGATACCTTAGAGGCAGTGGGGAAGGTCTGCCCTGAACTGCGTGTGCTGTCTTTGGACTGTCTCCAGAGCAGTGTACATGATAATGTTGACAGCTTTGAACGGGCAACAGTTTTAGCCAGAGGTCTTGGTAGGTTTTCTGGACAGCTACACTGTCTTTCTCTACAGTTTGCTGGTCTTCTGTCTGAACTGGTTCCAGCACTTAAAGCCGTAGGCTCACATCTGCTCTCACTCACCTTGGAAGGCATCAAAGCTGATGGACATACTCCTCTTCTGGAGCTCATTCATGCCTGTCCCAGACTCACTTCTCTCACTATTCATTTAGACCCACCCAGGAATAATTGGGATGGAGACGATGATGAGGAAGAGGAGGGTGAAGACGAAGGCCTTCTTTCTAATCTGCCATGCATTCCACACCTCCGCTCTTTAACACTAAAGTAAGTCAAATGTTGTCATTCTAAACTTTATGCTGATGCACTTTCCCATTACAGTCGATTGTACTGTTTTCTGTTCTGTGTCCCTTTTTTCCCAACAGTTTTCCCCTGGATGAACGACAAATGAAGCCTGCATTGTGTTGGAGGTCTCTGAAGGGAGCGCTGTGGGCACTACTTAGAGGCGCTTCACTCCTTCAGAAGCTCTCGCTAATCGCTGTTCCCTGTCGACTTGACCCTGTGTTCAGTCTTGTCCTGAATCATCCAGCCAAACCCCTCGGAGCCCTAGACAGTCCCCCACTGCACTGCCTTAGATCTGTTAGCCTTAACCGCTCAGATATCACTATGGAGACTGTAGTTCATATTGTAAACACTTGTTGGCGCTTGTCTCATTTGGATTTGAGTGGCTGCTGGGCATTGACTTTGAGCAGTATCACAAAGTTACAATGCAAAGCCAAAAGGAGGCGCCATACACTGCAAATAACATGGACATGAGCTAGGGAAAGAAAAGGCCATGCTCCGATTGAAAATGGGTTGTACTGTCACTGTAATTTTGTTGATTTATATTTTGTCTTTAACAGGCACCTAAAATTTTACATATTCTATGAAACGGAAATATTCTAGGAAAATATATTAATGTATATAATTTATTACTGATACAAAAATAAAACTAATACAATTAACCCAAATTACAAAGCACTGCTCATGATCAGATTTATAAATTGTCCTTTTCTAATTTTCTATCCAAATATACACATGGCTTTCGAGATTTAGAATTATGTTTACTACAACCCATCTATATTTTTGGACCTGTATTAATGTTTTGTTTTTTTAAAAGATGAACCATACTGTTCATTGCACACTTTGTCAAGTTTTTTTTTTTTTTGTCATGCACTTTGTTATATTCGAATACTTCTGTTTTTATGCACAAGTCCCAGGATAAGAGCAAGTAAATAATCTTGTTAATTTTTTTTCTTGTTATCTTACACAACCTTAAAACCATCTGCTGTTTTGTTAAAATATTATTTATCAAATAATAATAATAATAATAATAACAACACGTGTATAAATAAAATCGTGTACTCTACACAGTTGTGTTGTGTTTATATGTTTCTATATCCACTACTGATTTTATACTTGTACCTTGAAATTTGATCTAAGGGTGCACTGCACATAAACGCTTTCTGTCTGTGTACTACACTCTTCATGGCCATTGGCTCCTTTCACATTTGACAGGAGCGCGAAGCCTTCATATTAATAGAATACGCTCATTGGCCGAACTTATTCCTATAGCAAATCAGTTCATGAGCGTCACATAACGTAATTCATATTCATGAGCCAGGCGTTTGACGTACTCGTTCGTAAATTCGCTGGCGGGAGGAAGACGAGGCAGTACGTACTAGCTAAAGTGTGATTCGTTTATTACATTCAGAATAGTTATGTCTCGAATACTCAACTGTATTGTAGCTGTTTGTCCAGACATGGGAATAGGGAAAAATGGAAATCTGCCATGGCATCCAATAAGACTAAGGTGAGCTCGTATTTGTTGCTAAATCTCAAGCTAATGTTCTGATATATTGATTCAATAATACAAGAGGTGTTTGCAGTTATTTAGTGCCCTGTGTAAAGAGTTTTGAATTTCTCACCAGTTATACGTTGTGATACGTTTGCAGTTATATAAACTGAATGACTATTTACAAATGAATAAAGTTAAAGCATCTTACAAAACATATTAAGAAAGAATGGTAGAAGGAAGAATGTTAGCTGAAGATGTACCTGAAGAGCGAACATTTTATGATTGCACAGAGCTTTAGTTAAAAGCTTGACCTTTATCCTGGAGTCCACTGGTAACGTAAATAACGACATTCAGCACATTTCCCCCATGCCAGCGAAGCTAAACCCACCCACACTACTGTACTACAGAAAAACCCCAGACATATTCCTGAACGATAACACAAAGCAAGCCTCAAAATTTATCCCAATCGATCGCTTTAATTCTTACCTTTCTGATCTTTTTAGTAATGAATTCAAACACTTTCAGAAGATGACCATGACCCCTTCAGCTGAGGGTAATATGCTTACATTGTCTTATTTTTGTCATATTTTATTTGTTTGTTCAGAAATTAGTAAAATCGTAAACCAGACCATACATTCTGTGTGTCATTTGACAGGTAAAAAGAATGTGGTTGTGATGGGCAGAAAGACATGGTTCTCTATTCCTGCAGCAAACAGGCCCCTAAAGAACAGGACCAACGTTGTTCTCAGCAGAGAGCTCAAGTAATCCTTTTTTAATGTTTACAGTTTATTTCATCTTGTAATAAATCACTATGCTGTATATAAGTAAAGTGCCTGTTTCTATCGCTGGCTACACAGGACAGTCCCAGAGGGAGCTCACTACCTTGCTTCAGACTTCAGTTCAGCTCTCCATCTGTTAGACAGCAGTGAGCTCGACAAACAAGTGGACCAGGTTTGGATAATTGGGGGAAGCGCTCTCTACAAGGTTGGTAAAATGATGTAAATCACTCATATCTATTGAGAAATTCAGAAAAATGTAATAGAAGTATAAACATATGCTGAATATGTATCAAATCTCTTATAACCTTAAATTATTTTTCACAATGGTCTTGTGTTACCATTCTTACTAATTAACAATGGTAAACTTGTGTATAAACATGGAAGTATTGTGAGATTATATATGGAATTTTGTGTAGTGTTGAGAGATAATTGTATGGCTTTTGATCAGTTCCATGTTTTGTATGCTCATTCTTCATTTCTTTCTGAATGCATTAAAATATATATATTTTTTCAATCTAGGTTTTAACATTTAAGTCTGACTTCTCCCATCATACAACTGAATTATGAAATTAATTTGATTGTTTTTTTAATGTGGTTTGATGGTTCCTAATTTGAGGGTAAAATGGGCTGTTTCAGCAGTTACATGCGTGCAACGTTATACATTATACAGCCACCTATATATCAGTTGTATCTCAGTTATAGCGCAGTGTAGTCCAGATCTTTGTATTATCAGTTGTTATGGAAACTGCCTCAAGGCAAAATGTACAAAAGACTCCCTTCATACTCCTTCCTCCTCATTCTGTTATATCTTGTACAATGTAATCACTTTGTGAATGTTTGTGCTGTGTTCTTCAGGAGGTGATGGAGAGCTCTGGCCCCAGGCGTCTTTTTGTGACACGGGTTCTCAAACAGTTTGACTGCGACACATTTATACCTGACATTAATATGGACAAGTACAAGCTCCTGCCCGAGTGAGTGCTCATACAGTTGCTTGTACATTTACATGAAGGTCTATAATTCCTGGAGAGAGGTTAGCATTGCAGTTTATAATGAAGGCAGCTGCTCAGCTGCATTAAATTGATCAAAAGTGACAGTGAAGACATTTATAATGTTACAAATGATTTCTCTCTCAAATAAATACTGTTCTTTTTAACTTTCTCTTAATCAAAGAATCCGAAAAAAGTATTGCAATTACTACAAAATATTAAGCAACTGTCTTTAACAGTAGCGTTTCCTGACTGTAAATTTAGGTGGGGCAGATTCTGGGTCATGGTGCTAGTTTATAATAAACTCAATATTGTCTTAAGAATTATTGCCTTAATATTGTCTCCGAATGTTGATTTAAAATATTACAAGTTGTACTGGAATTTAAGTGAGGAAACGAATATCATGTCTCATCTTAAAGCGAACATAAAACAAACACAACAGAACTATATAAAGGCTTTTTACGTGAGCACATTTAAACTAAGGGATTAACACTTTCATTAATTTAAAACTCTACTCCACATGGAAAAAACAGTCATGCCAGCTACATACTGACCTGATGCAGACACATATAGCAGAAGCTGACTGATATTGTCTTGGTCTGGAGTGAGATAAGGTAACGTGAAAATAAGCGGGGCAGTCTCAAAACTGCCCAAATGGCTCTCAGTTAGAGCGTGCTGCAGTTCCAGTTTTTACCACAGATTTACATTGGCTGTGTCCGAAATCGCCCCCTATACCCTCATTCACTATTCCCTACATTAGGTCACTAATTCAGTTCACTAGAAGGAGTGAATGAAAATGAGTAGTGAATTCGGACACTGAGTGCACCGGAAGGAATGCCGCTTTTGCATAGTTTGTGCTTGCTGTTTATTAATCATTTGAAACTAGCAAACTAGCAGCTCCAGTAGTAAGATTAAAGGATTTATCTTGAACTCTGTCACGGAAATTATGTATAAACTCTAATCAAACAATTTAATAATCAATTTACAATTAATTTATACCCGTGTTGTTACATTATGCTGTACGCCATGGATGAGCGCTTTGTAAAAATGAACGGCTTGATTATTCAGCTGCGGGCGTTATCTTCTGGCGAGATGCGGGAATTCATTCGGCGCGTGACTCTCACGGTGCATTATGGGCATTCTCTAGCCGTTGAGCGTGCACCAGTTGTACACTCGTTTTTGCAGTGCATTGTGGGATTGAATGAGTGCGCTTGAGAACGTCCACTATGGTTTCGGACACCACTAAAAATAGCTGTTCCCTCAAATAGTGCCCTATTTAAGGGTATAGGGGGCGATTTCGGACACAGCCATTGTAAAATTTGTGGGGCGCTGTTGAGTTCGGAAGGACACCGGCACAACTGCCTCATCATTTTACGTGCCTGCCGAAGCTTGCGATGAATTTTAATATATCCTGCGCACTTTATGACGTAAAATTGTGAAGAAAATCAGAAAAAATATTTGTTGCAGAATGCTGAACACATTTACAGTTTATTATATATGTAGTTTATATAGAGGTCTATGTTTTGGGTGAATATTTTGGTGGGGCTCTGCCCCACCTGCCCTTACAGACGAGCCGCACTTGGTTTTTAACATTGATAATAATAAATGTTTCTTGAGCACCAAATCATCACATTCAGAAAATTGAAAATTCAGAAAATTCAGCTTTGCCATCACAGGAATAAATTACATTTTAAAATGTATTAAAATAGAAATTTGTTATTTTAAATTGTAATATTATTTCACAATATTACTGTATTTTTGATCAAATAAATGGAGCCTTGGTGAGCATAAGATACTTCTTTCAAAAACCTTTAAAAAAAGGTACTGACCCCAAACTTTTAAATAGTATTGCAAGTCCATGTCAAGTTTTTCAGAGCCCTACAGAATAAAACAATTTGCATATTGCCTGCAAAAAATGTTTCATAACATGATTTGTAGGAGCGATATTATTATTCCAGTAAAGTGTTAAACTTCAAAAAGCCATTTGCCAAGGCTAAAACTCTTCACTGTTTTGAAACACTTTCTTTCTTTAAAGTACAACCTTTTTTATACATATATTTAGGAATATTTGTCTGGTCAAATCCTTGAATAAAGTGGCATTAATGGATATATTGACACTGGAACAGACATATGCTGTATTGTGTATCCAGAGAGAATAGTGAAGAGAGTTACATCAATGAGGAGAAAAAGCTCTCGTTATGTAAAAATGGCATCTAGCATCAAAAGTGGGCCGCACCAAATGTCACATCTCTCAGGCACACAATAAGCATTTAAAGAGAAGTTAAATGCACACAGAATGTTGATACAGGTTCATCACTGCCACTTCATCTGACAAAGAGTAAAATGGATCTTTTGTTAGTTGTGTTCTCAAATTCATTTGATTAGTTTCAACAGTTAATTGGCACAATTAACAACAATCTATACCAGTCTAAAGCGGATGAAAGTTCATGAAAGTACAAGCTTGTGCATGTAATTGTTTGTGTGTGTCTGTATTATGTTTTGTACTACAGGTTATCTTTTCTTATGTTCTTAGTTGAAATGCGTGCTTGTGAAATCAGCCCTGACCATAGAAACTTGTGGGTAATGTCTTGTTGTTCTTTCTGTTTCTCTTCCTTGTTTCCTTCTGGTCAGATTCCCAGGTGTACCCACGGGCTTGCAGGAGGAGAATGGTGTTCAGTATGTGTTTGAAGTGTATGAGAGCACCAAAGACTAAGAAGATCCTTTAAGCATGATGTTAAGGTCGGAGAAGTGGCCTGGCTGGTATTGCGAGTGCTCTGACGTGTTGCGTGGTGCAGTTTTTATGGGAGACCTGTTTTTAAATCAGACTTCTGTAATTGCCTGACCCCATCACCCCTTTTTCTCCTTCTCATTTATGTTTGTCACATTTCCTGTCAACTCTTCTTAGTAATAAAAATGAAACGCCCAAAAATATGTTGCGATTCTAGGACAGTTGAAAAATATGATTTTATGATAAAATTTTGTGTGTGGCCTTTTGCAACTTTATATACAAAGTGGAAAGTAGATAGAAAATCATAAGACAGAGAGTAAGTAAAAAGGGGTAAAATCGACAGGATTCAATCTCACATGAGCACAACAGCTCAACTTGTTGCATGGGTGCTAACCACTAGGTCTCTGGTGATTTGCAGCCTTTTCTCAATTATTTTTTCAAATATGCAAAAACTGTTTTTTTTTTCCACTGGCACTGCCATAATTTAAAAAAAAATTAGTATCAGGTTTAATTCCTGGATTATCATTTCAAATATTCAGAAAACACCTAATTTTGATAAACAATTTTCTTTTCCACATCTGCTATCCATTTAATTATTCTTCATCTTGCCAACTGCAAAAGACAACCTTGCTCATCTCCATATCCAATAGCAGCTGAAGTGTCTGCTGTTAAGCCAGCCTTAAGATCTGGCTGCTCTCAATGAATATGCATGCTGTTTCGTCTTCAGGCTGGCTGATTGACAAAGGTTGTCATATAGTTTAGAGAAGGGTCACAATACTAGCACTTTCAGTCTCACCTACACAGACTCCTTCACGACCCCTATTTTAAAAAGCCAAATGCTGCAATCAGGCAAAACCTTTTTAATCTGATTGGTTTCGGGTATGTCAGCCTAATGTGCTATGAATGTTTACGACCGGGCTGAAATAAACCTGACTGGAATTCCAATTACCCAGCACATGCACCTTGTACACACCTTAAGTAGCACTTAGATTTATTTTCAGGGTACAAACAGTATCTAGAGACTTGAGAAGTGTTTGTGCTTCACTATTTTATGCACATGAGCAGTGAACTTGCCATTTTTCTGTTTATTTTTTTATCTGGTTTGCCTGGTGTTTGCTATTAAATACAACTTATTTTCTGTTATTATTCCATTAGGAGTCTTATTATTGTCCTTTTTATCAGTGCCATCATTGCAGGCTTATATATAGTGACTGCATTACTCAAATGGATCAATACACACCCTCCACGTCCCTCAGGAGCTGAACTGCTGCCTCAAAGGCTAGACTGTTGTGTCATAATGATGTAACTGCACCATAGGAGTCATGATCATGTGATCATGTTGACATCAGAGTTAGAAACAAATGAGAATAATGGAGCGATCACTTACTGACGCTGGATGTGTAGGGACTGGCGTCACCTTGCTCTATTAAGCTTGACTGTCCTCCTGATTCACAGGGACTTGGTCTGTGTTACGCTGGTAGCTTGTTTCGAGACCTGAGAGCACAGGCACTTGTTCTCTCTGTATCTCTCCTCTATCTGTGCCACTCTTTCATTCACCCTCAGTGAGTGTACATCCCCACACGTTCATCTCCCACTTCAAGCTCCAGCTTTAGTCTCACCGCTGGATTACTTGTCTATTACAAAGATGACATGCCACAGGGACAAGCTATTGGAAAACTAGAGCTGCAACTGGTTTAAAAGAGGTAAGGAACTAATCTCATCTCCTTTAGAAGTATGAATACTTTTTTTAATGAAATACTCTACATTTTTATGCTGTATAATTTACAACTTTTTGTGTTGCAGATTTTTTCAATTTTATTTTAGATTTGTGAAGCTGTTGGTCTTGTTTTTTTGATGCAAATCTTTTGAGACTTTATATGATGTGAGTTGATAGAGCTTTTTCGTTAGTTTTGACCTTGGCTCCATTCATCTGTACAAATAAGTTTAAGTAGTTCACACAAAATAGCATCTTCAGTGAGGATTTTACAATGCATGTGACTTTTTAAAACTTAACTTAAACTATATGTGTATATATATGTGTGTATATATATATATATATATATATATATATATGTAAAAGGAATTTAAGTAAGGTTCATCTGAGGTAATTAAAACAACATTTATTTGTTTAGTATAAAATTGAGTATAAAAATATATTTTAAACATTTGATATACAGTAGAAATTGAGTTTAAATGACATAAAATAATCAACTTTAAATATCTAGTACTCCATGTAAATAATTATTTTCCAAATTAATTGAAAAAGACATGCAAAGTAAAGGAACTTCTATATGCTGCTTTCACTGTTTAGCATATAAATGTATCGTATGGACGTGGAAATGTATCGTCGTATCAGATGAGGAGCCTTATAATTTATTCTCCTGATCCTGGCAAACCTCGAAAGCACAGCGAGGAAGCTTTCATTACCCTCATTAATAAAGGCACACAAAAAACTATTCTTATTCAGTTATTAGTTGATGTCACGGAGTGGGTTTTCATTTTCCCTGCAGGTGTTTTGAGAGGGACAAAATCAGCCCACCATTTGCGAGGAGAATTAAGTATTGTGTGATCTGGCATGAATCACAGATGCATACAGGTGCGTGAAGTGGTCTGTTTGGTGCTCCACTTCAGCGCTGCTGCTGCAACAATCACCACCCTCGTCTGTTTTGGTCCTCATTTGCTCCATGCTTTTTAGCACGAGGCAGTGACAGAGAGAGAGAGGCCTGTCATTAAAAATTCTCTCTGTTCCCAAGGGTGATTGAAGACTAGCAGTATGGCACACAAAGCTTTGGTTTTAAATGCCAGCCCAGGGAGCTCTAGGAATTAGCAGCATGAACCGAGATGTCCTGCAGGCATCAGGCCGTGTGCTTGTACCAGGCCAATCAGGACTTAGCCTGTCTGTACAACTTGATTTAAAAAGCCAATCCGTTAGGACAGAGTGGTTTATTAGCATACAAAACATAACATGTGGAGAAAGAAAGACGAGGATGTTTTTGTTCAGGAAAGGCATACGTTTCTAATAGGTAGATAAAGGTATTATAATCCACAAAGTTTTAACGTTTAACCAAGGTGCTGACGCAGCTCACATGCAGCCTCCACTTCTAAGAAAAGCTACAGTTAAGAGTGTCAGCCCAGGTTGTCATCCTTTTTTATTTTTGTTGGAGGACACAAAAAGATTCCTTCTCTTACTCATCTTTCCTCAACTCCAGTGAAATCACATTTATATACCTGACTGAGGCAGTCTCGCACTCACTCTTTGTTAAATAAAGAGTGCACTGCGACTGCGCTCTGAGTTGAGAGAACAAGGCCACATGCACAATAGACTGTATAAAGGAATGCCATCGTTCAATGAGCCAAATACAGATTGCCTCAAGCTATTGAATTTCAGCCTGCTGAAAAACACTGCTATTGCTCTTATAAGAACAGACTGTGCATGTCTGGTGCACGCTAACACGCTAAAGACAGCACTTATACTACATCCGCTAATTTGAAAGTACAGTGGAAGTTAAGCTTAATAGACAGCATAATTTCCATTTGTTTCTTTTACAAAGCAAAAATCAAGGTCACAGCAATGCACTTACAATGGAACTAAATGGGGCTGTTTTTTTTTAAATTAAAAACACTTACATTAATTCTTCTGTTAAAACATTTTATGTATTATTTGGGCTGCAAAGTTGTTCCCTCCATTTTATGGTAATTTTATGGTTTTAAATGTTACGTTTTCATGGCAATTAAATAAAACGATGTAATTTTACACAGAAATTAATGTCATTTTTTTTCACTCAAAACATGCATATTGTTGCCAAATTGGCCTAATTTTCCTCCATTGTGTCTCACTATAAACCCCGATTTTTTGCTTATTTAAAGAAAAGGAGGTACAGGTTGAAATTTATTTGAACTTTATGCCAAAAATGCTGTTGATTTAGCATAACTTGTATTAAACCCAGAATATTGCTTTACATATGTTGCCTAATAGCATGTTGGGAACAGAAATATTCTGCAAAATTAAAAGAATATAAAAGGGGAGTAATTCATCTTATATAAAGGGGATTAGATAACTAATTCAGTTTTCTTATATCTTCTTGTCAAGTACCACCTAGACATGCCACCTACATAGTCATCATAACAAACATCTTCATATTGTCTACCCGGTGAATGGCGAGAGACACTAGATTAGAGCAGGAAGCCTCTCTAGCATTATTCTAAGGCAAAGAAGGAGAGAACATTTCAATGTCAAAGAGTTGTCGGGTTTGCTTTGATGCGAATGAATCGGATAAAAAGGCAGACACTTAATTGAAAACCTTGAGAAACTGTGATTCTGATGCAGTGCGCTCTCCTTCTCTTGCCTGACAGAAGTCAAAGAAGAAATCAGCTCCTATGATCCACTGAGCCAACGCGATATTAGCCTCTCAACGGTCTCACCACACAATCATGGAGGACTCAACAGAGGTGCGAACGGACGGAAACTCTTTGCTTAAAGCAGTATATCTGTGTCGCCTGAGGTTGACGCGTCTGTTGCTGGAAGGAGGCGCTTACATTAATGAGAGCAATGAGAGAGGAGAAACCCCACTGATGGTAGCCTGCAAAAGCCACCATGCCGATGCTCAGAGTGTGCCAAAACCCAAGATCATCAGGTGGGTCTCCTAGAAGTTAATTATACTAGCCAATTGTGCCATGAAACTCAGATATTAGTTTATTAAAAAGTACATTTAAAATGCAATTCAAACATCAGTACAATAACTCTTGTATGATGAGCATGTTTTAATTTCTTTAATTTTTAAAAATATTTTTAATAGAGTAAAAAATAGTCAGGGTGAGATGTATGTCCTAAAATGTAATCTATACAATGTAATCTATATCTATAGTGGGGTTAACACTTAAGTAGTTTGGCATAAATTTATTTTAATTTCTTAGAAAATAAATATTTTAACAAAACTGCTTCACTACAGACCCTCATGAATGTGTGTCAAGGCCACTAATTTTCTTAAACTACATGAATATTTGATTATTTTATGATAGAATGACTCCCCAAAAACTCAATATTTAGAAAAATTTTTGCCATTAAAGATACATAACTGTGTCAGGGTTTCCACAACAAAAAGCAACACAACTGTTTTCAACACTGATAATAATAATTGTTTCTTGAGCACCAGATCAGCATATCAGCATTATTTCTGAAGGATCATGTGACACTGAAGAATAGAGTAATGGCTGCTGAAAATTCAGCTTTGCCATCACAGGATTATTTACATTTTAAAAGATATTAAAATAGAAAACTGTTTTTTTAAAATAATAATAACATTTTACAATATTACTGTTTTAATTTATTTTTGATTAAATGAATCCATAAGAGACCCCAAACTTTACAACCATAGTGTAATATAAAATGTTTTATATACACTCATGTATTCAAGGGGTAAAGAAAATAGCTCAGTTGTATTTTGAATTACTTGATGGTAACTGAAACTATTCTTCAAAATAAACGTTTTTAAAAATCATTTGAAACAAGCATGAATACCAAGAGTGTATTTCTTGGCACACTACTTTTTACTTCTATTTACAAGATTTTTAAAATTATTTTTCTTTATCATGGACACTCTGGTATGCCATTGATCCATTCCTTTATGAGCTCACTCTAACGAATCTCTTCTCAACAGGTATCTTCTTGAAAATGGTGCGGACCCCAACATTCAGGACAAGTCTGGTAAGACTGCCCTAATGCATGCCTGCATAGAGCGGGCAGGCGATGAGGTGCTGTCACTTCTGCTCTCCAGTGGAGCTGACCCTAGTTTAGAGGATCACACAGGTTCCTCCGCTCTGGTCTATGCAGTTAACGCTGGAGACAAGGATGCACTAAGAGTACTACTGAATGCCTGCAAGGCCAAGGGCAAAGAAGTCATCATCATAACAACAGACAAACTACCCTCTGGAAGACAAATGACCAAGCAGTATCTGAACGTACCACCTTCTCCAAATCTTGAGGACCGGTTGCACTGTGCCCCTGCATCATGTATGTGCCCTTCTGAAATTAAACTCTGTACCACTCTTATCACACCATCCACCAATAACCAATCGGAGACCCTGGGATCCACCCCAACACTTCCCACATCCAAGCCAGGATCACCGACTCAAGATTCAAGCCCTCTGCAAGCAGGTAGTGTGGCGAAGCTGTTGCATCTACAAAGGCTTCACTCAGAGCCCTGGCTGAAGATCCCTCCATCTCTGCTCCTACAGCAATGTAAGTCCTCATCCTTGACCGAGGAGCTTCTAGATATCACCCCTGAAGAGGAGCTCTCCTTTGTGTACAATGGTTGCAGACCTCCACTGAAAGCGACAGTAGCTCGGCACCAAAGCATTGACGTCAAGGACTCTACTGGTCTGCTTAGAGCCTTTGAGACATCATCTGATGCTGAAAGAGAACTAGCAAAAGAACAGAAATGGCTCAGTAGAAAAATGTCCTATGATGGCGAGTTGCTACCACACTCTTCCTCACATCAGAACCTCAAACAGGCATCCGTCCCAGCACCTGTGGACCGGGACCCAGACTGTCTTCCCAACCTGGCCGTTTCAAGCCTGCGCAACGTGTTTCGCCGGCGCAACATCGGAATGGACCATTACAGTTCTGACTCTCAGTTGCCTCAGTTTGGGAGTCAACCTTCTGAAGACCTCGGGAAGACTGGAGGAGGAGGAACTGGAGGAACGGAGAAACGCAAGCTTGTTACTAGTCGCTCCTCCACTCTCTCAGGATCCAGAGAGTCTCTGGAGTGTCTCGTCCAGAGGAGGAGCCCAGCGATGCTGGAGCGGAGGGGATCCGGAGCCCTACTCCTAGACCATATCTCACAGACCCGGCCTGGTTATCTACCACCTCTCAATCCGCATGCACCCATTCCAGATATCAAAGTCAATACCAGTGTTGGCCTCAACAGTGGAAGCAAGCCTGTGGCAGGAACTACACCTGTTGTTTCTGGATCGAGGCATTTTGTGCCCTGTGCCCCAAGCCATCCCAGAGATTACAAGAATAAGAAGAGTCTGCTAAGACGACACTCCATGCAAACCGAGCAGATCAAGCAGCTGGTCAATTTTGAGGAGATTTTTGGTCAGTAATCCATCACAATGGAAGGTTGTGGTAAATATAGAGATTTAATGTCATTTGTAAATCTACACTAAGTCTGAAATCTGAAGAGAACAAAGATTAGATTTAAATAAGATTTTAACCTAAACATCTCAAACACCTCCCTAAAATGCACTTTCCAGACTGGACAATGGGAGTATGTCTATTTTGAACATTATAAACTTGACTGCACTTTACTTCTGTTCTTTGTGCTCTCACTCATTTGTGCACTGAATCAGAATACTGACACTTTGTTGCTGTTTAAGGCACTGCTTTCTTTTTAAACCTAATTCATGTCTGCAATGTCTTTGTATTTAAAAAACAGAATATATTGTGACCTTGTATTTACCCATTGACTGTAAATAAATGCAGCATAAAACATTACTTTCACTTTCTTGCATATATATATATATATATATAGAAGTGTTGTCCAATGATACTGCATGCAATTACATGTGTTTTTTATATTTTCGGCAAAAATAAATGAAACCAAAATAATTTAACAGATAACACTTTTGCTTTCTTCTATATAGTGGTTATACATTACTATTCAAAAGTTTGGGGTCAGTAATGTGTGTGTGTGTGCGTGTGTGTGTATATACATTTATACATATGCATATAGAAATGAATACTATTATTCAGCAAGGATACAGTAAATTGATTAAAATTACATTGTTACAAAACATTTTATTTCAAATTAATTCTGTTCTTCTGAACTTTCTTTTCAATAAATGTATTGTTCATTGTTAGTTCATGTTAGTTAATACATTAACTAATGTTAACAAATGGCACCTTATTGTAAAGTGTTACCCAAAATGCAAATATACAAAATGTTACAAATGCAAATGTAAATTACAAAAATATAGCATTTCTCTGAAATTTGTATTTGTACATTATTGGGTTATTTAAGCATAAGAACCAAAGAAATGCATGTTTAAATCTTTTGGAAGGCCAAACAAAGTAGTTTCGTTTTCACAACGAAACACACGGCGGGCTACAGTGAGCGGAGGCCAAAGGCCTAGAGTGAATGAGACTTTAGTCTTTGCAACTTTACAGATCTTCTTTATGCACCAAGTGCTTGTAACACTCCAAAGAGAAAGGAAAAATTGAAAGCGCATTATATGCGATTTCATAAATTTCATCATAAATTTGACTCAAATACAGAGTACGTCTATAGGTGCGTCCAAGTTCATGTACTTATGCACTATTCTAAACCATTTTTTTTTTGTATAAATAGTGTGAATAGTGTTCACACTGAAAATTCCAAAAAGAAAAAGTACACTTCAAATTCCCGGATGATGCACTTCATTAACTGAAAAAATGAAGTGTGGAATGTTGGACACTTCATGCACTGTGTCGAACTGTCGCAGCTTTAATTACATAGCGGAGAGGGAGTGGCTATCAGACTCCGATGTTGAATGACAAAATAAGCTTATAAACTTCATACACTACATGATTTAGTAAATAATGCATAAGTACATAGTGTACAAGTGCAGAGTTTATAGTGCGTCATTTGGGATGCAACTTGTGTTACAGTACTTGTATATTGTGTTTTATTACTGTTTTACCTCTCAAAGACAATATCAATAAGTGTAATTGCTTTTTTAGGAGTAGCCAGGTAGTCCTTTAAACTGTTTGATCTGAGATTCCAACAGATCATAGTAGATCCTAGTTTTGCTGAAGTTTTGCCTGTAGAGCAACAGATCCTCCACTTTAAGAACATCATGTTTGCCTGTCCAAACAGTCAGGCTGTACCTGAGAGAGAAGCTGATATGTTAAACAGAATCTTTTTTATCTTTTTTATTCACTTCACCAGTGAATAAAACGTATGATTAGTGCTTTAAATTTGGCATCTTAAAATGAAAATGTCAATCCAAAGCACAAATAACATTGTCATTAAGGAATTCTTTTTATCTATGCTTTTTTATGGTACAAATAAAGACCATACTTTTCCTTCATTTGTCTGAGTGACTGAAAAAATTAACTTGCACAATCGCCGTCAAAAAAAAAAAACATCTTAAGAGAGGGAGAAGACTGGTGAAGAGCACCATCTTTGTAGAAGAGGCTTAAACCTTCCCTTCACATCCTCTAATACCACAACACTGTCCTCCAGTAAAGCAATGAGTTGCTATTCCAGTCACAAACAAGGGTTATAGACGAGCCAGAACCAAATTATCCAGCAAGAAATTACTAAGCATTAGAATGAACTTGATTGTGTCCTTGCTTATATAACATAAATCAATCACTGAGGTAATACAAAGACTCCTTCACACAGATGCATGGCTTAATAGCTTCTATAATAGTGAATATGGACATACATTTAAATAGACTGATTAATAGCGAATTTCTCACCTGTCTGACTGCTTCAAAAGCCACTGGAACTGTGGGAAGGACACAGGAATGAGAGCTGCTCGGACTGGAAATGTGACTGGTTGCTTTAGGGATCTGCATAATTCTTCCATCTGATGAACCATCTCCCAGCTATAACCTATTTCCCAAAACAACACAAACACAACAAATACTAATCAAGGTCTGAATAATAATAATAATAATAATAATAATTAATTATTAAGAATGGAATACACCAAGGGAAGCCAAAGCAAAAGGCTAGGGGCAAAAAGTAAAAGTACTTTTCTTTTCCTACAAGAAGGACAGACCAAATAGATGCTAATTAACAAATTTGCCAGTGAAGGTAGCCATAACAACAGTATGTAGCTGATCTGCTTTCCATTGTGATATTGATTTAAATGCTAAATAATCTGTGTGTGTGTGTGTGTGTGTGTGTGTGTATATATATATATATATATATATATATACTGTATATTGCCATTCAGAAGTTAAAAGAAGTCTCTTTTCCTCACAAAGACTGCATTTATTTGATCAAAAATTCAGTAAAAAAGGTAATATGAAACATTATTACAACTTTTAAATTTTCTAAAACTGCTTTCTGTTTTAATATATTTTAAAATGTATTTTATTCCTGCAATGACAAAGCTGAATTTTCAGCAGCCGTTACTTCAGTCTTCAGTGTCACATGATCCTTCAGAAATCATTCATATATGCTGATTTGATGCTCAAGAAACATTTCATACTATTAATGTTGAAAACAGTTGTGCTGCTTGATATTTTTGTGGAAAATGTGATACTTTTTCAGTATTCTTTGATGAATAGAAAGTTTAAAACAACAGCATTTATTTCATATAGAAATTATTTGTAACATTATAAATGTTTTTACTGTCACTTTTGATCAACTTAACATCCTTTCTGAATAAAAGTATTACTTTCTTTAAACAAAATAAAATAAAATAAAAATCTTACGGAACCCAGACTTTTAAAAGGTAGTGTATATACACAGTATATACAGCACACTTCTGATTGTAACTAAAAATTAAACTTTAGTCATCTTAGTGTAGTAACAGTCTTTTTACCAGGATTGTCTGCATCTACATCCCATCCAGTGGTCCAACCCAAAGAGAGAACATCATTTTCTGATCTTTGAGCCACTTCCTGTAGAACCACATGAGGGTCCAGAGGGGTGGCTTTGCCACCAGGGCCAGGGAGAATATCAGCATTGATCCACACGGGTCCCTGCAGCTGATCTCGGACCTCTTCAAGGAGAATCATGGATGGGGATACAGCTGTAAGACTGTGAATCAAAATGACAAGTTGATCTGCCACTCATTAATTAGCAGCAAGGACAGTTTGGGAGAAATCAGACTAAACAAGCAATATGACTAGTGTCAATTTTTTAAAATTTCAAAATAAAATAAAAAATCACCTTTTGAAATAAAATTTTATTCCTTTGTCTGATTTCACAACTTCTTTAAGCCAGTCCTGCAGAGTTATATCACTGTCATTGTCAGGTGGGTGAGCCATAATGGGCTCTTTTGGATTTTGACCCCTGAGAAGTACATCTGCTTCAATCATCTGTGCAGAACCTCAATGAAGAACAAAAGGTAGGAAGAGAAAAAATCATCATAACACATTATGTCTTAAACTCGATCCTGATATGGTCATAAGAACAATGAAAGAGTAATGTAGGAGCAAAGCGAACACTTCTTAATACTTGTACTCACCTCGTAGAGCCTCTGTGAGTTTGCTTTTACTGTTTGCTGCATGATACCACTCAATATCAGCAGCATCTGTTCTTTGTATCGTCCCCTTGTTAAGGAAATATTCCAGTGTATGTTCACTCATTGGTCCTACGACTATGCAACATACTATGTTTAGTTTAGCCCTAGTGACTTTACACTGAATCTTTTTCATCTGGACCAATGCAATGACAATATCTGATTGGACAGCTAGCAAGTTAGCTTTCTTACCTTTGCCTTTGGAGTTTGACAGTGATTGTAGTTTGAGGTAGCAAACGACCAAAGAGGCGATAACTGTTGTGCATAAGATAAAACGATACCATTTATGTTTAACTAAACCCATGTATTGTTATAAGTAATATACTTTTTTGAAAATAACATTTACATTACAACAGCTAATACTTTTAAACATTACGGAAACCGGCAGCATGAAGCATTATGTGATATGTAATTATTCAGTCTATGTCCTCTGCATCTCGCTTTCACTTTACGAAATGTACAGTACCAGTCAAAGGTTTGGTTATTAGGAATATTAATTAATTATTATATTTATTAATAATAATAAAATATGTTTTATTAAAACACAATATGTCAAATGTTGCAAAAATATTTTAGAAGTAAAAAAGTATTTATTATATTATGGAGAAAAATATACATTATTTTTAACAAAAACACACGTATGTATGTATGTATGTATGTATATAAAGAAACAGTATAACCTTATAACTTACAGAGCATTCCCAGAATTCCTTGGGTGAACCATGACATTTGTTGGCTGGTCCAAATTTTAGAATTACATTTTTCATTTTGTAGAAATGTATTCATAGGCACTTTTAATTTATAAAAAAACTAATTTGCAAGCATAAGCTGTTGGATCAAATGGCATATAATGTTTGTCCAAACATTTGACTACAAAATTGTCAGTATCTATATATTTAGCATTATATAACTCTTCTGAAGTTGTAGAGATAAAAATGAAATGCAGACTGATGACGCATAGTTCACTTTCATGGGAACTTCGAACTGCGTCCTCTAGGGGTCGCTATGGGGAACGCCTCGTCGTGACCCGTGTCTGAAGCATACATTGAAAAAACACCAACTTGTTGGCCGGCAACAGCCATGACGTCACTACCGGTGCGACTATAGTATAGAACGTCTCAGGTTACTTATGTGACCATGGTTCCCTGAGTAGGGAACGAGACACTGCGTCCTCTAGGTTTTCTCGCCATGCTGCGGATGCAAGCTTCAGACGAAGAAGTGAATGATGTGTAGCTCCCGGCGCTTATTTATACTATAGTCGCACCGGTAGTGACGTCATGGCTGTCGCCGGCCAACGAGTTGGTGTTTTTTCAATGTATGCTTCAGACACGGGTCACGACGAGGCGTTCCCCATAGCGACCCCTAGAGGACGCAGTGTCTCGTTCCCTACTCAGGGAACCATGGTTACATAAGTAACCTGAGACGTTTTCATTAGCAATGTCATTCAGCTTAGATTTTTTTATTTGTTGGCTTTTGATGCATAGATGGGGGAGGATTTAATTTTATAATCCATTTAGCTGTGCATTATGCATATTAGATCCTATCAACTCTCTTCATTGAGCGTTTGTGGTTAGAATTGTGGGTATTTTCAGTTCTGTTATTCTGGGTTACCTGATGTTCTGGTTTCCTAGGTAATGGCACATAATATGAAAATATTGCAGGTATTTGTCTTTTGAAATAATACAATGTGAAACTTCATTCTCGTCGCGTTCTTTTAAACATCTTTATTGTCAGGTTTAGTTTCTCTAATTTCAGTGGAGGGTTGATTTGGTTTGGAGGTCTGCTCATCATCAGCTGCAGGGCTGTCAGGTACAGTGAGATGCTGTGATCCACAGCTGTCTGCAGAGCATCTACAGTCTCTTCCTCTGCTCCATTCACTCTCCTCAGAAGCCTCTGGTTTTGTTTTACTGTCTATGTGTGAGAGGCCCAGCTCCTCTAGCTGCATATGGAGACGTTTTTCCAAATCCTCAGTGTTTCGCGCCAACATGTAGCTCACCTTCCTCTGATGTGCCAAGGCCTCCTCTTTGTCATTTAACTGAAGAGGGAAGACAATCAAAACGTCAAGCCAAATGTAATGTTAAAGTATATAGAAAAGTATATTTAAAAAAATCAACATATAATTCAAAGTATACTGACCCGGTCAAGCAGCATATGGAGTGTTTCATTTGAATTGGCTGATATCTTTGCTTCACTTGTTGTGGGCAGAATTTTTTTCAGCCTTTCACCTACACTGAGAGACCCCTGCTTCCCTTTAAAATAAAATAAATTAAATAATAAGTAATTAATAAAATGAATTACTTGAAACAAAGAGAGTAGCACTGTAAAATTACAGCATTGTGCCACATGAAACTAAAGTAATGATGTCAAGTAGAGAGAGTACAAGGAAAAGATGGACCTGTCTTATTGGTTAGTGCACTGCTTTTTTTTTTTTGGTCCAGAATGTGCATGCATATTTGTTGGACCATGTGAATGAATGAATGAATAAATGAATTATTTATTTATTATTACTATTATTATTATTTTAATTTTATTATTATTATTTTTTGCATGAGTCAGGTGTCATTAACTTAAACTAAAACTATTCAAACATTTTTATTAAATGTAAATAAAGCTTAGGATAATACATAAATATTACAGTAGATCAAAAACTAAAATAGTTTGAAGCAGTAAAATATTGAACTATAACTAAAACTGAAATAAAAATAAATTAAACCTAAAGAGTATTTAAAAAATAATTAAAAAATAACATAAGCACAATTACTAAACGTTAAACTAAAATTAAAATGAAAACTGATAATGCATATATAAGTAATATATTAAAAAAATTTTTAATAAAAACTTTAATTATAATGGTATATAAAGAATACTAAAATAACACAAGACCCTAACTTGAGCCAAAAAAAAAAAAAATGCACAATTTACGATACCATTGTTGTCAGATTTTATTGCTGATTTTACATTATTTTTAAACAAATTTTTACACTAGTTTTGGAGATTTCTGTGGACATTTTTAATGAAAGTGACATATATTACACTGCATGATTTTTTCTCTGTTTTAAGCTATACAGCTTAGCAGCACTTTACCTCTCTCATGCCTTTGGTAGTGTGGCTGGTGTCTGTCGGTCTCAGCCTGCCGGAGCACGTTCTCACCGACTCTCCTTAACTGCTGCTCAAAGGCGATGCGGAAAGCATCCATCATGACGTAAGCCTCCTCCTTCCTCTTCTGCTGTTCCTCCAGCTAATGCAGACAAATGCATTGTGTTACAAGACCCTCAAGGACAAATGAGCAAATCCAGCACTGTAATGGATTTAATACATGTATTGGCTAAATAGGAGGATTAATTTTCAAGGTAATGGAACAGAAGTATTGATAAATTAAGACAAGCACCTCTTGCTTGAGCTGGAGAACCTGTTTGCGACTTGCAGCAGCACTTCTAGCACAAGAGCACGGCTCACCCCCATTAGAGTTACACTGACATGCCCCATACACCGCTAACTGAGAGATAAGAGGACAGAGAGCTGTTTACTACAAAACAAAGCTATTTAAAACAGACTGCAATTCACCAACATTACCTCTAATGCTGAACCGTCTGTTCTCAGGCTGCAGGGAGGCTGGGTCCTCTGGTAGTCCCTTCTTTCCTTAGCACTGAGCATGGACAAAAGCTCCAGACATTTTTGGCTCAGAGCTAAGACACAAAATGCATAAATACGCACTGGAAACAAACCAGCAATTGGGTCCTGAAATAAAAGTAAGAAATATGATGTGACTTACAGGCATTCTCTGTCCTTTGCTCCTGATGTTCTCTCATTTTCTCCTCTAGTGCTCTCTTTAGGCCTTCATTTTCTGCCAACACCCTGAAGTGGTATTGACAGGGACCAGTGAGATGTGGGCATTTTTAAAGTGACATGAATTTAAAACAGACTCTTATTTACTTCCTCAATACATAGCTTGAGTCTTATTGGGTTTTGTTTTTTGAACCTTAAACCGCATAAACACATTTCATTACACCAAATACACAAAATAATGTTCTTTTTAGCTACGTCATATGACCCCTTTAAAAAAGACAAATTTTTGATCAAAAAGCTCTGCAAATGTGCAAAGCAAAATGGCTGCAGATAGCATTTCACATTGAAGTCGCAATGAAACTGAAGTAGCGGCAAATCTTTTCTTCCGTATCAAGAGAAGTCTTCTCTCTGTCACCAGTTCTCACTTCATGCCAACTTTAAAAGTGTGTTTTTTGCATGGGTATACCTCTCATACTTTAAACTCCGTGAGTTTTCCACATTCTTGAACTGCACCTGGTTAAAGGTGATCTCCCATTGCAATGCATTAACCTCCTGTGTGGAAAAGAATTCACAGGAATGAGATCATATTTTCAGGAATAGGCTTGAATTAAAAAAAAGATTAACAGTTGTTTAGTTGTTGTTTGAGTAGGACACCTTTTCTATGGCTTTGTTCCTCTCTTCACTCTTCTGAAGCAATATTTTAGTATGACAAGTTGCTTTGTCCAAGATTGCCTTCAGGGACAAATGTAACACAGGGCTTTAACCCACTTCATAAATGACCTAATTAGACCTAATACTGATATTAATTATCATAATATTTTGAAATACTTGTCCTTGCAAGATCCTAAGAGCCTCATGTTTTCCCTCCAGTTGGCGATGAGTGACCTCCAGTTCTGTGCGTAACAGCTCCACTTCCTGATATAGAGCGAAGATTTACATACACCTGAGACATGTTCATACGTGAAGATGTATATCTTTTCTTTACTCCATTCAAAAACTCACAGGGGTGCTACTTTTCTAGAGCTCTATTGTGTGAGATATATTTTGTTTGATCTTTTATCACATTTGATCATGAGTAAGTTTACCTCTGTGACCTCCTGTAGTCTTCTCTGCAGCTCTTCACTTGTGTCCTCAGAAGAGCTTTCTACAAAAGAATGCAGTTACATTTAAAAAGCAGTGTTAGCACATGGTTTTCTAGGATTGCCAACACATCATATCCTGGTAGTAGTGTGGTTCTCAAATGACTATTGTTGAATATTTGTTTAAGTACAGAATTGCTCAAGGGAGTACACAAAGTTCCCTCCCTGATAAGAAATAGCAGGTGTTGACTTCACCAAACACTGCAAATCAACAGAGCATAAAGTGTTTGGAGTAGGACATATACCAGGAAGTTATCCTCTTTGTGATAGCTTTAAAACTGAACTCACTTTTTTCATAAGCTAGATACAGTAGCTTAGTCTGCTCTGTGTCCATGAAAGAATCAAAAAGGTTTGAATGTTTTAAATGACTTTAGATGCCAGTCCAGAAGACTAACCCGACTGTCTTTTCTCCCACCGTGCAACTCGTTCAGCTTCCAGTTCTTCCCTAAAAACAGCATACATGGCTCTGCATGATGTCCAAGAGAAGGGTTCATTGCTTCTCTCGCTGCCCCCTTTCACTGGTAGTGACTGAGACAGGGAGCCCAGAAACTTCCCCCTGCTCTTCATTTGTGGGAGATGGTCATGATGTCCTCTGGATCTGGCCTCCATGCCATCACCTAGATCCCCCTCTCTCATGTCATCTTCTGTGGGGCACTGAGGGCATGAACCCTCACCTTGCATCACAATAAACTAAAAAAAAGTACAGTATGAGTGCATTTAGACAAAAAAAAGTAGATCATTCATGTTAAGTACTAAACATATGTAAAGACATTAAAACTGAAATCTATGTAAATCTCATGTTTGACAGTCAAAACAGAAGACATGGAAATGTTAAATCGAGCGCGATACTTTAGCCTACTGGTCAACGCAAAACGAAACTTTGATCGTTCCTTGAGAATAGAGGTTAGAATAATAAGGTTAGTCACTACAAAATATAACCATTACATACCTTTACGAAAACCTGTCCGTGAGGGGTGCATTTGTATTTCGCTAACAAGAACAAGGGCGAAATTCCACTTCAAGACTTTCCGCTCACTTTGACGAAGTGAAACTTCATAAAGGGGCGTGTCTGACCCAACAGGTGCTTTATTACAGAAGAACATACTACAGATCATGAAATATCGCTATATGGCGGAGGTTTTCGAGCGTTACAGTCCCAGGGATCCCCAGTGAGGTACTAGCAATAATAACCTTCATTAAAATAAATCATAAAAGCTACTAGTATTCTCCTTTGCCATTTTGAGTTTCCACCTGGACGATTGTCTAGTCTAACCCAAGAAATAAAATAGAAATAGGACAGATGAGCAATATATGAAATGACATTTTTTAATTAGCTATACATTGTGTACAACTGTAACCACATTTATACATCTAAAATATACACTATTTTAAAACACATACAATAACAAATATATGATATATACCTTTCCACAGACTCCCTGTTGTATCTTCAGTCCCCCAGCGACAGTAACAAATATGGATTCAGAGATTTTTCTCAATAAATAAATAACAAAACAGCCATCAAAGTTGCAAACATTGATTTATTGCAGTCACGACCTTGACTGAAGTGTAGGTTGTCTACTTCTCAGTCCCAGAGCATTATGTTTCACCGTGACAACATAAAACTTTAATCGTGGCTGTAAATTGTCATACTTTGTTCTTTTTTTTAGAAATACTTTCATTAATATCCTCACTGAAACTGTGTACAGAACACGTACATTTCAACACAAGTAAGAACATATGAACAATTCTCTACAGCAGCATACTGTGTCGAAGCACATAAATATCTACTAATAATTACCATCTTTAAAAAACAAAAAACTATGACCTAAAGGTACAACAATTGCATCAGGGCAAGTGATATTAAATATGCCCATGGCATGTGATCAGTCAATCACTGTCATATTCCTCAATTAACAGGTCTTCCTCATTCAAAAGGGCTTCAGTGCTTGTGGGCTGAGGCTGGCTGGCAGAAAGTTCCCCAGAAGGATCCTGGCTGTTTGGCAAGTTGGGCTCAGCTGTGGCATTTCCTGGTGCGGATTCTGGGTCAAGGGACTGAGCAGCAGAAGAATCTTCATTTTCACTGTCAGCATCCAGAATGCCAGGGTCTTTGTCATTAAGTGCTTCAAGTCTCAGCCTGAAAATAAAGACATTTATTAAACCATTTCAGAAATCTTTCAAATGCAATAACACTTCAAAGTTTTGTATATCTCACCTTCCAGGAACCCTCTTTTGAGAAAGCTGGCCAACATTCTGGATGAAGGCTATTTGAGCTGATACGAGAAAGATGAAAAATATATTAAATAGAATAAAAAAAGATGAATTATGTATGAGAAGAAATGCACCATTCATTTTTGACCATATTTTGAGTCTTGCATACTTGTGTGGGAGGCAGGAAAATAATTTAACTTGAAAGATAATAGTATGCAGTTTGGTTAAATGATTTTTTGGTTAAATGATGTTTTGCGGATACTAAGGTCACATGTTCACCTTTATTTCTCATTGGGTTGGTGAGCTTTGCAAGATAAGGCACCAGTTCTGTCAGGAGGCTCACAGGAGTAAGGCAGAAATTTAAGAAGAGTGACTGTGCGGTCAGGTAATTCTCTCGATACTATCACAAAAACAGAGTTAAAATACATCAATATAATACATTTACAAGTACAACACAAAGATGTAGATAAAGTAAAAACTAAATATACCATCTTGTTTATGTGTAGCCAATGTGGTTTATGAAGAGGCCTGAATCCGGCAGTGGACTGGCTGCTGGCTTGTGCTCGAGAGGAGTTTGAGTGCAGGAGGCCTCTAGTGGCCACTGATGAGCCATATTCCAACATGGTCGACCTTGACTGTGAAAAGATGAACCCCATGACAACAAAACAAAGTTGTTGCTAAGATACTACATGATGATAGTCCTCAGGAATCAAATGTTATGTCTGCAGTACAATCAGAGTAACCCTGCATATCTCTATGTGTGTTATTATGGACGTCCACCAGCATTTGCACTCACGCTCCACTCTGCTGTCAGGAAGTCTGCATCAGAGAGGTACTCGCTGGCTCATGCTATATCCTCTACATCCGAAAAGAAGTCAGGGTAGTTCTGGTGCAGGTAGAGGTTGAAGAATTCACCAGACATATGGGAACGTTCAATGACAAGCTGAGGAATATATTATAATCAAAAGATTGTTAGAACATTAAAGCAGCTTAAACTTTTTATATTGTGTAATTTACAACATAAATTAATATTTACTTCTGGATCAACAAGTAGTTTGTCCCTTTGATGATCTGTTAAATGTGGAGGCAGCTTGGGTGCTTGAGTGCTTTCATAGCTTTCACCTAAAAATCACATGTCATCCATTGGTATAAATATGAATGAATTTACACACAGTTCATGATGTACAATACATCATAGTAATCAGAGAAAAACATTTTGGCAAGAAAGATTTAAAAAGAGTTGAAAACGACTAACGTTTGCAGTAGAGGATTTTCCCTAAAGCTCTGAACAGGAAAAGTGAAGCATCTTTCCCTCCAATAGCAGGGCTTTCATCCAGCATGTCTGTTGATTTTGAAGACTTGCTCCTCCCCTTTGTCCTTACGGTGGGTTTTGCTGCAGATTTGTCCTTCTTGGAAGCCCAGAGTCTTCTCTCTAGACAATTGTCTGAGAATTGAAGAGAATGATTGCATAATTACAGTTTACATACTTTACAGAAAAACAGAAAAAAATAATTATATATTTTCTAGTTCTATTACCAGAAAAAAACATACTATATAAACGTGTTCAGTAACTATTTTCTCACCAGTAAATGAAGAAAACTGCAAGTTGTTGATGGCACAGCGAATATCTCCTGAACTTCCTGAGCAAAGAAGATCTAAAGCACCTTTATCAGGAACCGAGATCCTGCCAGAACTCTGCAAAGACCATTTAAAGATATAGATGTGCTGAGTGAAGTATTACGGATCTCAGAGTCAAAACTATCTGCTCAGAAGATGCAGGAAAAACAAACCACACAACCAACCTTTCCTGCCTCAATAGTTACAATGCGGCTTAGGACCTTCATCATACTGGTGGGGGCCACAGGGTTAAAACTGAAACAGAGATGTTTTACCTGTGACGACCTTGGGCTCGGATATTTTTAACTAAAGATTTCGGGAAAATGAATTTTTTTGTACCTAATGTTGTGAATTTCAAGTTCATGCAGAACATCTTTAAAGAGAAGTCTGGAGTTCTTGTCCCCGCTGAGACTATCAGACACAATCAGGACCAGTGGGCACCGGCCCGTCTTAATAAATTGCCTAAATGAACAAAGCAAAAATAAGGACATTGGTATACAAGATACAAGTGAGAACTAATTATCAACAATACTTCAAAATATAGTGCTAATGCTCACCTGAGTATATCATGCAAGCACCCTGGTTGCCTATAGAACTGGTTTGGAAATTCCTGAGATAAAACAAAAAATAATGGGAAAGTGTCACTCAGCATCTCAATTTTAATTTAACATTATTTATTTTCAATTCCTCTTCTCGTCGCCTTTTTCGTCAGTTGCTTTTTTACTTGCCCCACACTTTCTCTTTTGCACAATTTATTTCAGATTTATATAAAGTTTGTGTATTTTTCAACATCAGTAATATGTTTGAAGAGTAGTTCTGTGCAGCACCTCTATAAGAATGATTTTCCTGTCTTCAGTCACTTTCTCTCCGCTCATTTGTAGACGGTTGTATTTGTTGGCTCGTAGCAGGTACTCTTGGAATAACCCTGTTTGTGAGCTGCCATGGAAACGGTTAAACCTTGAATCTGTTCGAATAAAAAGGGCAGATAAACAAGCTAACAAAAACATTTCATAATATACACAGACACCGAGATATAACTTCATCCATAAATCATTCTGATATGTGGTAAAAATATGGGTGCTGAATAATTATCATTCACTAGATATTATGCATTGCACGGTGTCGCTACATGAACATCAGTCATGACTGGTAAGAAGAAGACTCCTGACCTGGATCAAAGCTTTGTGTGAACAAATCCTCCGTTTTGTACTGAGAGGTGGTGGAGGGATTTGACCACTCTTGGATCTGAAAACCCAAATCCTTGGCAAGGACTTGAACAGTTGCTGTCTTCCCACATCCTGAGGGGCCAGTGAGCAACAGAATGGCGCCACCCTGTGGAGACATGACCACAAATAAAACCAAGAGTGTAAAACTATTCCCAAATGATTAAATAAACATACATCACCCAACATACATGTCATACCTTTTTTGATTCGTCCAAATTAACTCTCAGCCAGCTTTCAACTTCTTCAACTTTCTTTTTGTGGACTGCCAATTCGGCCTGTCAGAGAGAAAAAAAAGCATTTAAGCAACAATGCTTGTAGATTGAAATAACAAAAGCAATACGAAAATGTTAAGTAACAGACAAATGTGTTTTTAGGGGCACAATCTATCTCAGAGTGAAATAGTTTGTATTACCAAGACTGGAGTACTCAGCCCTACTTTATGAAATCTAATTTACTGTAGTTTTTAAATAAAATTCATCAAAACACTCTTGAAATAGTCATAAGTTAGCTTTGCTTCAACCACCCACCTTAAACTGTTAGAGAGATGGTGGAACTAAACTGCAGGAAGGTCAATTTTCCAAGAACTGTACTAAGAACCCGAGCAACACAATTTCTGTACCTGTGATTCGGGAGCATACATATCCACCCAGGGCTCATCCTGGTCTGGTTTATATGCTTCACTTGACACACTGATCTGGTTGCTGGACACATGAGGATCTACTTTCCTCTTCTTGGATTTTTTCTCTGCTTGGTCCCCAGTAGATGGCCACCGGGTAGTTTTGCTTTCCCCTGAGAGTGGCGCCTTTTTCAGGGACCTGTTCGCTCCTCCCAAAAGTTCACCAAATGATGGTTCCACCATGAAATATCGCTATATGGCGGAGGTTTTCGAGCGTTACAGTCCCAGGGATCCCCAGTGAGGTACTAGCAATAATAACCTTCATTAAAATAAATCATAAAAGCTACTAGTATTCTCCTTTGCCATTTTGAGTTTCCACCTGGACGATTGTCTAGTCTAACCCAAGAAATAAAATAGAAATAGGACAGATGAGCAATATATGAAATGACATTTTTTTTTACTGTTCGCTCCTCCCAAAAGTTCACCAAATGATGGTTCCACCCAGCTGTTTATCTTAACAGGAAATACAAGCAGAACACATATGATACACATCAGCATCAGTAAATTCAGAGCATCCACATCCTTTCTCAGTGTGTAATGGACAACAACAAAAAAACCTGATGAAAAAAAATATACGATATGAAAAAAGAAAGAATAATCAAAAGTACTTTCAAAGATGTTACATACTTTTCCAGAGGACTGCTTTCCTCCCAAAGACAGCTTTGACATCATCAATTCTGACGTCCCATTCAGTTACTTCATGCAAAACTGTGCTGGGATGAAAACAAAATAATTTATAAAACGGCAAAGTTGGGATTCACCTCTGCAAGCTTACAAGAGGTGGACAGTAGTACAGGTTAGTATAATTAGACTTTCGTCTATGAATAATCACAAGTGAACAAACAGAAAGTAACATTCTGGTAGCATTAAAAACCTCTGCATGCTACCAGAACTAACTTTACTATAAAACAATTTTTAGAAGAACTCTCATACCAGTAATCCCTTAATTGAATAAAAGCATTATCCGGCATTTTGGCCAAATATATAAGTCAGAGTTCTGCAAGTTCGCTACTGACCGTTAATTTGGCTCGACATAACGAAAGCGAGCAGTCACAATTTATCAGGCCGCATAAAAAAAACATGGCTACCACACCGTTAAGGCAGTACAATATAAACGTACCCTAGTCATTTCTACAGATGACGTTTGTAGAACAACAATGCCGACTATTTGTGATCGCAAGTAACATTGCGCTAACTATCCCTTTAAAGCTGTCACGAACCGCCCCTCTGCTGGCGCATGCTGATGGCGTCATCAACCACACGCCACAATTGTCAACACGTTTTTACGTTGATCTATGCTGTGACAACCACATAAGAAGATATGACCAACGGATTATTTACATATCATATGTTTTTGTATGCTTACTGATACTGAGTATCCAGCTGAGATTAGTGTAAATCGAGTGTGTTATTAATTGCTCTATTTCCACGTGTGATATCTTGCAATGAGAATCATGAAGAGACCAAACATTCTTCTTACAGGTACGTTAGTCCTGTTTTGAAACGAGTTTTGTATTTTTCAATACATATTGTATTTTTCCTTTCAAATAATTACATCAATACATTTTGGTGATGTATTAGGTTGTTCCCTGTCATACAAATGTAGTTTGAATGTATTTAGTAGGTATAGCAATAATCAAAAATAAAGTAGTAGTAGTAATAATAATAAAATTGTTTTTTCATGATTGCTAAACATTGATATACTTGCTCATGAAATGGCAGGAACCCCTGGTGTAGGAAAGACCACTCTCGGCAAAGAGCTGGCTCAGAGAACAGGACTAAACTATGTGAATGTTGGTGATTTGGCACAGGAGAAGCCTACAAGGAGGAGATAGTCCACCAGCTCCCCAGTAACACTCCTGAGGACCTGGAGAGGAATCTGGAACAAATTATTCAGTGGATTGAACAATGGATGAAAGAAAACAATTGACTTTATCATATTATATGTATTTATGGCTTCATTATATGTGAAAGGCTCAATCACTATTTGAAGTTATGTCAAAGTAGACAGACATCACATTTCATAGTTATTGTTGCCCCAGACAGAGTATTGTTCTTTTCACTACCATTGAGCTAAGGACTTAAAATGTGTGGGGCTGTTAAAAATTACTCGATTTGAAATAAGTTGATCTTGCTTCTAAAATGAATGGAAGAAATAAATATTTTTATAGTGTATTTAAAAGAGCCTCTTTCTGTTGACTTGTTTTATTTGTCTTGTTATTCGTTGATTAAATTATCAAAGATAAATTAAAATTCTTTGATAAATGGGATATTGTTGTTTAGCTGCCACCAAATACCAGAAACATCTGTTAGTAATTGAAATTTAGGATCAAATCTAATTCACAGAAATAATGGTAAATTACATTGGTGTTTCTCCTCAAAAGATGGACCATAAGGTTCACATGTACATAATTAGTTTATACTTAACATAATTAGATTAATTTGGCAGCTCTTAAACTTAGCTACACTAAGTCTTATTTCTAGCAGTGAAAAAGTAATTAATGTTGGAGAGTCCGTTTTATTCACTTTCATCAGTCATTTAAATTTGCCATTTCTATTTTTGCTTTTTAATTTTATTTTTCCTCTTATTCTCCCCATTAATGCTTTGTCAACAATCAAACCATCATATCTACTTCTATAATTCCTGGATCATCCAGTCCCTCTGGCAGTGTAAACAAAGGATAACGTTTTAGGAGTAGTAAATAACCGTTTATGTTGTCATCAATGCTCTTTTTTTACATGCAAAGTACAAACAGTGTCATCCTCTAAAAAAAACACAATTTGTTTTGATAGATCTATATATATATATTATTATTATTATTATTAGTTTTAAAATTAGTATTTTCTCTACAGGTCAGTTGTTCGATGGATTTGATGAAGAATACCAGTGTCCTATTTTGGATGAGGACAGGGTATGTACTATTGTAATGGATCTAACTGCCATGTTTTACTTAATTGTTCCCCTTTAATGGGATGATGTATAGTCACAGAATTTTACAGTGCAATCTTGAACAAAATACATTTTGTAGTGTTTTATTAGATAGGGGTAGGGTATAACAGGCTGCACATACAAGTACATAATTAGTTTATACTTAACATAATTAGATTAATTTGGCAGCTCTTAAACTTAGCTACACTAAGTCTTATTTCTAGCAGTGAAAAAGTAATTAATGTTGGAGAGTCCGTTTTATTCACTTTCATCAGTCATTTAAATTTGCCATTTCTATTTTTGCTTTTTAATTTTATTTTTCCTCTTATTCTCCCCATTAATGCTTGGTCAACAATCAAACCATCATATCTACTTCTAAAATTCCTGGATCATCCAGTCCCTCTGGCATTGTAAACAAAGGATAACGTTTTAGGAGTAGTAAATAACCGTTTATGTTGTCATCAATGCTCCTTTTTTACATGCAAAGTACAAACAGTGTCATCCTCTAAAAAAACACACAATTTGTTTTGATAGATCAACTGATTTTTCATGTGTTTCATCTAATGTTTTCTTGTGAAACTGGTTTGTATCGTGACATCACACATACTGGGACAGGACAAGTCACGTGATCGATTCCTTTCACCTGCAGCACCAGTGGCGGAAGACAGGTGAAACTATCGGTACCAGGTAAGAGAGCGATGTTTTTAAATAAAATATATATATGTTAGGCTAAAATATGTAGTCTACACTCTCACATCTTTAGTGTAGATACTGAAAACGCTCTCACCGTGCTAAATTAGTGCGATTATTCATTTTGGATGATTTCAGAGCTTGTATGCATTAGTTCCGTTTTATTTCTTACCTGTTCTTTGTTGGCAGGCAGGTTCCAAACCGCGTTAAGATCATGTCATGCAACAAAGATGTTGTGCCATCGTTTTTTATAAAGTCACATTTTTGCTAGATTTTTAAACTCGCTTTCTAAGCTCGTTTGGTCAGTGTGTAACTCACTTGTTTATTTTTATTTCAGGGAGCTTTGTAAAGGGAAAACACTGTTTAAACTCACCCTGTGAGGCAATGTAACTACTGTACCCAGGTAAGACAGTCATCGACTTCAGAGTTTTGTAGTATGCAGTGGGTTTTTTCTATGTAGAGATGGACGATATAATTGTACTTTTACATGTAGGCCTACGTATTTTAATTGTGCATTTTTCAGAGTGTAGATCATAACGTTGTAATGCCTACATTGACTAAACCATTTAAAACATTTGTTTTTAATATGTAAATGTACTTATTAAATAATATTCATAATTTATTGGTTATAAACCATGGCATAACAATAACTATTGTCTTATTAATATCAGATAGAATTTAAATATCAATGAATCCTTACTTTTATGTTTGTAAAAGATGTGCAAATGACGTGATGTCAGTATGTATGTGACATAAGGCCTTATAATAATGTGGATAAACTTTCTGATCCTTAGTTCACTCAGCTGCTAAGAACCATCCCCATGTCTTTTGGAAACGGGTCAGCGTCCCGCTTTGATCGGGTCCGCGATATGCCTCACTACGATGAGGTGCCCATCGGCTCACTGCCGTGGGGTCAGCAGGTTCCTTACCCACTTGGTGGTGAAGTAGCAGCATCCAGCTATGACAGTTTACCACCACCGCCGCTCCCCGGAAACCCTCCTGTTGGCCCAGATTTCTACCCGAGTGATGTTGAAGACCAGGTGGATGACGCCATGGACATCAAACCCATCCGACGCTTCATTCCTGACTCTGTGAAGAACTTCTTCAGAGCCAGTGACCAGTGTCCTATTTTGGATGAGGACAGGGTATGTACTATTGTAATGGATCTAACTGCCATGTTTTACTTAATTGTTCCCCTTTAATGGGATGATGTATAGTCACAGAATTTTACAGTGCAATCTTGAACAAAATACATTTTATAGTGTTTTATTAGATAGGGGTAGGGTATAACAGGCTGCACATAATGTTAAAACATGTTAAAGACAATTTCATTTTTTTAGGTTGTGGATGAGTTGGAGGACAAAATGGGAAATGGAGGCGTCATTATTGATTACCATGGCTGTGATTTCTTTCCTGAACGCTGGTTTCACATCGTTTTTGTCCTCCGCACAGATAACACCAGTCTCTACAATCGTCTTGAAAGCAGGTTTGTGTTCATAACAGTTAACAGTATGTTCATTACATATGTGATGTTTCAGTTTGAGCCTTTTTTGACTACTTGAATATATCTTGATATAGATCCGGGATGAGCAAAACAGGGAACATTTAAGGGAAAAAAACATTTTAAATCATCCTAAGGAAGACAAAAAAAAAACCTTATTGGAGAATCACCCATAAAGCATATTCATACAGTCTTGGTGATTAAGGGCCTAATGTACAGTTCGGCAGTCATTTACATGCTATGTGACTGTATGCTTCCTGTTGCAGTGATTTAATTTACAGTGGCAACCAAGGCAGCAAGAAATGGACCTTTCCACCACCACCACCACCTGATGTGAACACCACCAGCGAAGGCGTCCCGTGCTCTCCTCCACATTCACGTGCACCGTCACCTACAGCCCCCAGCTCTTACCTAGACCCTTATGGAGGGTCTGGAGGCAGCTACAATTCAAGGAAGGAGCAGGCAACGTTATTAGGGGAGCCGCTGGAATCGGTTTCTGGTCGCTCTTTGCAGACGGCTATGACTTACAGTGAGAAGGTGGAGGAGTACAATCAGCGCTACGCATATATGAAGTCCTGGGCTGGACTTTTGCGCATTTTAGGATGTGCAGAGTTGCTTTTGGGGGCTGCTGTTTTTGCTTGTGTCTGTGCATACGTGCACAAAGATAATGAGTGGTTTAATATGTTTGGTTACTCCATGCATCAGATGTATGGGGGAGGGTATGGGGGAACAGCAATGGGTGGGATGTATGGAGGAAGTGGCATTTCCTACTCCGGACCCTTGACTCCTTTTGTTATCGTGGTGGCTGGAGTGGCCTGGATAGTGACTGTCATTCTAGTAGTGTTAGGAGTGACCATGTATTATCGTACCATTCTACTAGACTCCAGCTGGTGGCCAATCACAGAGGGTGTGATAAACTTGGCATTAGCATTGCTCTACTTGTCAGCTGCAATTGTGTATGTGCGAGACACAGTCCGTGGAGGTCTCTGCTATTATCCACATTTCAACGCTGGGCCCAATGCGGGGTTTTGCCGAACAGAGGCTGGGCAGAATGCTGCCATCATCTTTCTCTTTCTCAACATGCTGTTGTATCTTGTGGGAGCAGGCGTGTGTCTGAAGCTGTGGAGACATGAAGCTGCAAGGATGCGCAGAGAGAGAATGGGTCAAGATGTAAAGTTCCAAAGATTTGTTCTTTGAAATTGATTAACATAAAGAGAAATATAATGATTGCTCAAAATGATTTTCCTATTTCAGTAATAGCAGTAAATAATCTCAGACTTTGCTAATAAAATCGAATTTGCTTGCTTTTCTGTTCTTATTTGTATTTAGATGAAATCGGAAGGACTTCCGCTCAATATGGTAAGCAGTTGAATTTTGATATCAAGAAGAACATTTTCAGATTTTAAAATCATTGTTGTAATGTACTATTTGTAATATCAGACCGGTGCCGGCTCAAGTGTCTCTGTGCCCATCCAAACTGCTCCAGTAATGGCCAGTCCAGAATCTTATGATGGCACACCTGTCAACCCAGTTATGATGGAACCAGAGATCTTAAGGGGTCATATTCCTGCTGGCCACATCCCCAAACCTGTGGTCATTGCAGACTATGTGGCGTGAGTTTCAAAGAATACTTACATTAACCAAAATCAATTAATTAATTCAAGCTATTTTATCCAATATATAAACTCGATTTTAATGATGTTCAGAAACTAGCCTCATGCTTTTTTTAATCTCTCATCCCTTTTGTAATGACTATATCTGAATGTTCTGTCTAATCTTTCTCCTCACAGGAAATATCCCACAATCCGGTCTGATGAGGAGAGGGAGCGATACAAGGCTGTGTTTAATGATCAATATGCAGAATATAAAGAGTTGCATGCTGAGGTTCAAGTCTTAACACAGAAGTTTGAGGAAATGGATATTCTGATGAGAAGTCTACCACAGCAGCCTTCCACCCAAATGGTAATGGGTTTAAACAGCATTTTGCTAATTCTTTAATTATTATTACATTTGTGGTTTTTATGAGCTTATATTATTTGAGAAACTACATGGAATATTTGTAATTGAAAATTCATTTGTCACATCTCATGACCATTAAAATTAATTAGTTAAGACACAAAGATGTTTAAAAATGGTGAGAAGCTGGTGACCAATCACAGTACAGTTCCTTTATACATTTATCTGAATACATTTATCTGAAATCTTTTGATTTAAACAGGAAAAAAATGAGATATTAATTGGTTTTCCTCCCATAGGAGCAAGAGAGAGTCAATAGCATTATTCAAGAGTATAACAGAAAAAAGGCTGTAAGTACTGTTTAATACTGTTATCTATTCTACTTCTAGGCGTTTTAAAGTAATATACAGAATACATGTTAGGTATTTTACTTTTCCCAGAAAAGGGAAGCGTTGACCTATGCCCTACACGTTGCTTCGGCCCATTTCAAAACCTTCATCTGCCTGTTGCCTTTCTACATTCTTTAGTCATTGCAAAAGAATGACATGGTATCTGTCTCCATTTGAGTGCCACAGTCAGTAGAAACTGAAAAACTGGAAATGTTAGGGGGACGTCAGTGGAGCTATTGACATATTTACATACTTCCTGTCTGTGTGTGAGCGCACACCAAAGATTACTTTACCTGTTTCTGGTTGTAGGACCCGACGTACCAGGAGAAAAGGGAGAGATGTGAATATCTGAAGAACAAACTTGCACACATAAAGCAGAAAATTCAGGAGTATGACAAAGTCATGGACTGGAATGATGGTTACAGTTAAACAGAACTCCAAAGTACTTTTAAAGTTCATCACGAACTTCACAGAGGTTCCCAGAAAAGAAGCAACTGGCTGAAAGCAAATTGTCCATGGCTATACCTTCAGGAATTAACAGAGTGTTTGGTTTGCTCTTGGTTTGTATTGATATAATTTCATATAGATTTCAAGCAGGAAAGTATAATGAAGGACATCTACCACGTCAAACCCAGCACTGAAAATGTTACCTTGCTTATTACTGACATGCCTTTCAGCAATGTTTTTAATATATACTGTATATTTCTGTATATACTTTTTTATTTTAGAAGTAGGTAATTTGAAGGAAATCAGGGGAATCTTATAGCTTCCTGTAGTTAAGTGGAGAATATAATGTAAATAGCTCTCAAAATTGTATTTGTTTAACTAGCAGCATCTCTGTAATGATCCTAGATTACTTTGTATATTTATAGTTTTGCTAGTTTAATTTTCACTTTTTTGTGTGTTTTATACAGTCATTTGTGTTATGTGTAAAAAAAATGTAACCATGTTACTCTACCTTCGAATTTCATCATTTTTTTTCATTGATTTTGGAAGTGGATAAAATAAACAGGCCTGCCTCCACATTGTACTGGCAAACATTTTCTTTTCAACAAAATAATGAACTAGTAGTTTATACTCAGAGTAACATACCACCTCTCATGTGTCTGTTTATACTTATCACGCTATACTACATGGCTCAGAGCATTATGTGTATAGGCCTGCTGTTATAGTTGAACTGTTGTAAAGTAAGCTAAACTTGTACTGGCTTGACAGCTCTGAAGGTATCAGGTAACAAGCTGCAATGGACTCTAGGGAGAAAAGGTGCTCATTCACCTTTTTGTGCAAACCTTATGCCTCATTAATCCTGAATGTGGTGTGTAATAATCTAGAACAGGGGTCCTCAACTCTGGACCTCGAGATCCACTTTCCTGCAGAGTTTAGCTCCAACCTGGATTAAGCAAACATACCTGCAACTTTGTAGTAATCCTGAAGACCTTGATCAGCTTGTTCAGGTGTGTTTGATTAGGGTTGGAACTAAACTCTGCAGGAAAGTGGATCTCGAGGTCCAGAGTTGAGGACCCCTGATCTAGAACAATGCTGCTTTAATTATTGTTATTGTTTTTGTGGCAATTTATGGTAATTTAAACCATAATTACATTACAGTTTCTAGGCACACGTTGAACTAAGGAGACTCTGACAATTAGCAAAGTACTTAAGAACAGCTTGCTGTTTGTTTCCAATTCAATGATGACTGGAGTGGATTTTAAAGATCCCTCCCAGATTACACGTTCATGATTTGGGCAATCAGAAATTCCATTGGTCTTATACATAACTTGCAACTCATGCGCATATGAGATAGAAGATAAAAGTTGTTTTCGAATTATTACAGGGGTCTTCGATCTTTTTCAGACCAAGTGCCCCAGAAATTGTCTAAATTACTAGTTTACTACTAGTATAAATTATCTAACATAAAATTATCCTAGCCTGAAAAGTAACTAGCTTTAAAGATTAAATGTGTCAAGACAATATTTTTGTAAAGCCATAGACGATATGTAGGCTATTATGAAAGTCGCTATGCAAATGAACCTGGCTCGTCTTGCATCTGAACTGTCCACTCCGCGCAGCGAGCACACGTTCGGGGCGGGGCTGCACCTGTGCAGGTGAGGATGGGGGGAGGCTGGTTTCACTGATGTGTCGTGTAAAAGACAGCTGATCTATGAAACTCTCTCAGTATTTAGCGGGCGTTTCCTGAAGGCTTGAGCGTCTTGCAGGTCCGTGAAATACTTCTGTAAGGAGCGAGGAAGGGTTACAAAATATTTACCAGCTTTGACTGCTTTCGTAAGGAAGAGGGTGAGTGATTAATTTGTCTATTTTCTAATTTGTTTTTAAATATTCCCAGCTGAATACTGTAGCCTGTTCTATCTCACGTTGTTGATTGTTGTGTTGACTAATACGCAGTGGCGGATTAAGACTCTTTGGTGCCCCTGGACAATGACACCTAGAGAGACTAACATTTTATATTAATAAACTGATCTGATAACAAGGCTACAAAAATCCGTACAAAATCAGGTTACCACTTTTTAATAATTATAATATAATTTAATAATAATTTATGCATTTAGCAGACGCTTTTATCCAAAGCGACTTACAGTGCATTCAGACTATACATTTTTTACCAGTATGTGTTACTTTTTACAGTGTACTCTGAAATTATTATATAATTATTATATTATTATATAATTTATATAATATATTATGATATAAATTATGTATAACTTGTGAACCCACCTCTTACAGGTGTAATCTGTTCTAAGATGTGATATAAATCTGAACTGTATGCAGCAAATTGAAACATTTTATAACTAGTGAAGCCAACTGTTACAGGTATAATAATAATCCAATCTGTTAATCACTTCAGACTCTATGGAAAAAAAGAAAGAGTGGATAATCTTTTGAGTCATTGTTGTCCTCAGCTCATTTTTCATTCATTTATATTTAATTTACAAAAACATTTTCTAATGTTTTACTCCCTTGTGTAAAAATGGTGTTTTCAGAAATGCAACAATGAGTGCAAGGTCTTGTTTGCAATTACATATACAGTGCTTAACAAATGTATTAGGCCACCACCCAATAGGTTTGTGCCACAGCTGCCCTAAACTAAGTATTGGTGATTACCAAAATTACCATTGTTATGTTTCTGTAATGGTTAATCCACCAGTATGTGTAAGATCTTTAGTCACTGTAGTGTATCTGATGCTGAAATATAATTATTGTTGGGATTGAATGATTCTAAGATAGATTGCACAAAAGTTTAATCAAAAGCAAGTCTTTGGGAACAACTACAATTTGGAAGTCAGTAACAACAGAGACTGGAAAAGTGCATAAAAAGTATGCCAGCAAGAATGCAAGCTTTTATCAAGGCCAAAGGAGGCCATACAAAATAAAAAATAAAATAGCCTATTTATATTTTTGGTTTATTAGTTTTTGGTTATTATGTGTGAATAAAGATTATTTAGTTGTTTCCGTTTGTTATTTGCCCAATGATAACACAATTTTTAATTTTAAACAAG